TAAACATACTCAAATCCCTGAGCCATTCCTCATAAATAAAGAAGATTAAGTAAAGTCATGCAAGTTGGGCCCATTTATGGCTACATGTTTACTATCCATCTAGCTCTGTAATGAAACTTTGGTTGATTAGATAGATGGTCTTTTCTGGAAACTGGACAGGAAAAGTGTGTCCCTGTTGGTTTTGCTGAACCTCTCAGCATGGCATCCTATAGAGCACCCCTGAGATGGGACTTGAAGGCAATGTTTTAGTGGTTTCAGGCCTCCTGGGTAAATTTACAGCTCTCAGTGAGGGATTTCTATTCACCCACTGTCTCTTGCTCTGTGAACTCCCTAAGGGTTTGAGTTTGGCTCCCATATTTTTAAATATCTACATGAAACTCCAACAAAGCTGTTTTGGGACTAATCTAGTGTCTGCTGTCACTAATGGATTGGATGAGTCTGAACAGATTGAAACTTACTCCAAACAAGGCAAAGAACTTCTGGTTCATGGAAAGGCAGGTCAAAGAATACGGAATTAGTTTGTGCCAGACTGGGTTATACCTCCCCTGAAATCACAGTTTTGGGCTGCCTTCAAAAACATTTTGGAAGTTTGTATTGTCGAAGGCTTTCATGGCCGGAATCACTGGGTTGTTGTAGGTTTTTTCGGGCTATATGACCATGTTCTAGAGGCATTCTTTCCTGACCTCACTACCTCTGAGGATGCTTGCCATAGATGCAGGCAAAACGTCAGGAGAGAATGCCTCTAGAACATGGTCATATAGCCTGAAAAAAACATTTTGGAAGTTTGCTTCTTGTTTGGTTGCAAGACAAACAATTCCCACTGAAATTCCTTCTTCTACAGGAGCCCCTTACCCAATTTTCACTCTGGCAACCATAATTTTAATGATAATGTAATATGTATTTTGAGAGAGAGAGTCTGGGGTAGAGGTTTGAGTATTGGATGATTATTTGGTTAAAATGATGCATAGGTGGTATATGACGCCACAAAAATTAGGAATAATGTACAAACAGGTGAATAATAAATGTTGGAAGTGTAAGACACAAGAGGAAACCTTTTACCATATCTGGTGGTCACGTGAGAAAGTAAAGAAATATTGGAAAATGATTCACTCAGAATGCAAAAAAATACTAAAAACAGAAATCCCATTAAGACCAGAAATATATTTATTGGGGATGTTCGACACAGACATTTTTAAAGATAACAATGAGGAAAAGCTTCTTAGTTTCTTCGCTACAGCTGCAAGAATGGTGTACGCGAAAGTATGGAAACAGGAGAAAATACCCACAAAAATGGACTGTGTTAGCAAAATAACAGACATTAAAGATATGGACGAATTAACATATTGGTTAAGGCAACATAATGGTCGTGCTACAAACCCAACAGATTGGACGGTTTTACAGGAATATATAGAAAGAAAAGACTGGTTAAGCTAAAGTGAAATAAGAGAGATAGAAATAATACATATGGTTCTTTTTCTCAAAACATAAATAAAAAATTTCGATAGGAGGATGGAAAGAGAGAGAAAGAAAAGAATATAGTTTAACGGTGAAGTAAGAAGAATGGAGGTCACAATAGGGTGTAGGTAGGCGGGTGTATGTATTTTTTTTCTCGGTTTTTTTTCTTTTTCTTTTCTTTTTCTTTCTCTTTAAATGTCTTTTTCTCTTAATGTTGTTTTTAATTGTAAACCATTGTTGAAAATCAATAAAAATAATTAAAAATAAGATTATTTGGTAAGGGATCACAGTTCAAATCCTGCTTGGCCAGGGGGATTCATTAGGCCCAGGCATGTAGCCGGGGGGGGGGGGGCTTGAGGGGCTTCAGCCCCCCCCCCCCAAATTCTCATGGTGACCCGCGAGAAGGCCTTACTGGTACATTATTTAAACTGTTATGTTTATTCATATCATGATCTGATCACCATGCTCAATATATCCCATATGCATGGGGGTATTGGGGTAACGATACAAAAGGTTTGCTAGGGTAGACCCTCTTTCACTCAGACTCCGCCCCCCCCCCCCCGAAAGAAAATCCTGGCTACGGGCCTGATTGGGCCCCATTCATACTACCATATAATTTCTGGATCCAGATTATCTGCTATGAACTGGATTATATGGCAGTGTAGACTCATATAATCCAGTTTAAAGGAGATAATCTGAATTCAGAAACTGGATTTAATGGCAGTGTAGATCCAGCTTCAATCTCAAAAGAAGGCAGTGGAGGTTATTGCCAAGTAAGGCCCATGAAAGTATCACCTTAGAGTCAACGTAACTCAAAAATCATTTGAAGGCACAAAACAACAACACTATATACTTTTTGTCCAGAAATTTTTTTCTAGTAGCCAGATGTGTATGATCAGATCTTAGAAAAGCTACTTTTTCAAAGGCAACCGAATTCTGGGAATGGTAGTGGAAACAGCAATGTCTTCAAGTTCTGTAAACTTAGGCTCCAGCTTTGTGACTTCATCTGAGAGAAGGCCAGCTTGCTTAGCTGGAGAGTGGCACAACTGAGTGCATGGGCGAGATTTGCAATGTGCTGAGTAACAGTCCTTGTTCAGGAACAGGCAGGTCTTTCTCACCCCAACAATGGCCATTTCAGGAGCTAACCAGTTGGTGGTCAATCTGGCATGCCTCAACTGTCACATGAAAACACATGGAGGGGGATGCTGGAGTGCAGACATTCTTGGCTCTTTTTCAATCAGCTTTGCACACCCAGAAATGCAACAAAGAATGATCTTTGTAAAGTCAAAGAAAGGATGAAAAAACACACATTTGTAAGAAAAATTGCTAGAAAGAGCAAGAAAGGATCCGTCTACTCTCGGCCTTCCTGTGCTGGGATTTTTCATAAACTCTTTCAATAAACTGCACTGTAATAAGGTTGGAATAAAGGGTGAAGAGCCAGAGACTCACATATTCTACACTTGATAGCTGTAATATTAAAGCCTGATACAGCTTTTTAGATCTTTACACAGTGAGAACTATAACAGAATGAGCAAGTTAACTAGAGGCTCCTATCATGTCTCTCACAGTCAGCTAAAAGGGTATCTCCACCAACTGGACGCAAGGCTTTCCAAGACTCTAGGGAAGCTTCTCGTGTTTTGCTGCTCCCTCCACTTTTCTTTGCACTGCAGACAACCCTCCGATGTCAGCCCAGTTGAGGTCACAGGTAGTCTTTGAACCACTCCCCCCCCCCCAACATTAGGGCCCAGTGAGATGTTGCTAGTAGAACTCAGGCAACCCGGATGGCAAAACCTCACCTCCAAAGGCCCGAGGCTTGATTTCAGCCTTAGAGTCTGAGAGAGATGAGGAACAGTTTGCCCCTGCCATCACCGAGGTGAATCTGCATATGTGGAAGTCTCTTTCTGTTAACCCTGCACTGCAGGCACCCCTTCAATAGGCTTTGGGATTTCAAGGCACCACCTACATGTCCCCTTTACAATCTCTGATCTTTTTTTTTTTACAGTATTTATATACCGCTTTTCTCACCCTTAGCGGTTTACACAGAGATAATGGCAAAATTCAATGCCTTACAAAACTACAATAGTAAAACCACACATTAGATATAAATCATATTAAAAACAATACATCATCAAGCATCAAAACAGTCATTAAACCATAAAACAATCTCATCAGTTGAGTCACTGTTCCAGTCCTCGTCCCTTTAAAAAGCTGCATACATCTATTGTCTGAAGGCCTGGTCCCAGAACCATGATTTTAATTTTTTTTAAAGGTCAGGAGAGAGAGAGCAGATCTTACCTCCTTTGGGAATGTGTTCCATAGGCGGGGGGCCACAACCGAGAAGGCCCTGCTCCTCGTCCCCACTAGCCGCATTTGTGCTGTTGACGGGAGAGAGCAGGGCCTCCCTGGATGATCTTAAGCTGCGAGGTGGGACGTAGGGGCAGATGCGTTCGGACAAGTAAGCTGGACCAGAACCATATACAGCTTTATAGGTCAAAACCAGCACTTTGAATTGGGCTCGGAGATGGACCGGCAGCCAGTGGAGCTGGCATAGCAGGGGGGGTGGTATGCTCCCTGTATGCTGCCCCAGTTAGTAATCTGGCTGCTGCCCGTTGAACTAACTGAAGTTTCCGAACCATCTTCAAAGGCAGCCCCACGTAGAGTGCATTGCAGTAATCTATTCGGGATGTAACCAGAGCATGGACCACCGTGGTCAGATCAGACTTCCCAGACTTCTCCGAAATTGGAAGAGACAAGCTAGCTTTATCTACTTCTCAAAGGGCAATTTTGGCAGGCTTTTCCCTACACATACCCAAAAGCCCCCTACCTTAACAAACTTTATAAAATTAAATAGAATCCAGAGAGTTTAGCTGGATTCTACAAAAGACTTTACCAAGTAACTCATCAATGGGCCACCCTAGACCCAGCAGTTCCTGATAACCAGAAAATGTTTAATGTTTTCCATAGGCCATTAGGATGAAATTGCAGAGGCGGGGTGAGGTGATGCCTGTCTCCCAGTTAATAGTTGCTGCCTTTAAATTTTAACTGAGGAGGAGGAACGGAAAGAGAGGGGACCAAAGCTCCGTCACAAGCTTCCACCTTGTCTGCTGCCTTCACAGATCAAGACAGGGTGAAAGATGAAGTCAGGGAGAGAGAAAGGAAAGATTAGATAGACAGGAACTGGGGACAGCCAGGCAGAAACAGGGAAGGAGATGGGGAGAGGAGATCTCAGAAGCAGATGAGCTGGTTTCTCTATCCTGGCCTATCTTGTCTAGCATACGCTCACCAGGCACAAACTCTCTATCCATGGTCCTAGCTATACCTCTTCATTTCCATCTTCTAAGGCAGTGGTTCTCTTTTTTCCCTCCATTATTTGGTTTTAATTCTTGGGGGGGGGGGGGACGACCTCAAAAGGTTTCAGAAAAGAAAGGAAAACTGCACAATATGTTGATGGCATTCAGCCCTGAAAAATAAGAGCTGTGGCTGATTGGTCAAAAGGGGCCATTCGGGGGCTTGGGAGCTCCTCACAGGCCCAGCTTGGTGGTTCTTCAGTGCCTCCACTTGGAGTTGTAACTGATTTTATTGCCGGTTTTCATGCGGATCCATTGGGGAATCAGCCGGTTCTGCTTCTGCTTCTTAGCCAGGAAGCGCTTGATCTTAAACATCTAGTGGGATGACATATCTTCAGCTCTGCAGTGGTTCTCAAACTGTGCTCTTCCAGGTGTTTTGGACTTCAGCTCCCAGAAATCTCAGCCAGCTTACTAGCTGTTAGGAATTGTGGGAGCTGAAGTCCAAAACATCTGGAGGAGCACAGTTTGAGAATCACTGCTCTAAGGTTACCTCCATGTCTTCTGAGAATTGAAGCTGTTGTCCTTGTTTCTGTACCTCATAATTACTGATTGAGAGCATAGCCTGGGAATTATGTAGTTCTAAACATGCAACGTGGTTCCTCATAATTCTGTGTGTGTCACATTCTTCCAAGTATCTGCCTCCTATGTTTGTGAGGCAGACTTTTAGAAAAATGTGACAGTCTTTGTTTCTTGCCCTTCTAGGAGAGCCAGTTCAAAAAAAGTTCATAGATTCATAGAGTTGGAAGAGATCACAAGGGTCATCCACCTATTCTACCATGGAGGAAGACATAATTAAAGTACTCCTGAGAGATGGCCATCCAGTCTGTGCTTAAAAACAGAGGAGGAGGCTCCATCACACTTCAAGGCAGTATATTCCAGTGTCAAATAGCTCTTACTGTCAGGAAACACTTCTGAATGTTTAGGTGGAATCTCTTTTCCTGTAGTTGGAATTCATTGCAGTGTGTTTCGGAGGCAACAGTAAACAAATCAGCTCCACCTTCAATATGACATTCTTTCAGATAGTAAAACATGGCTGTCATGTCACCTCTTAATTTCTCATTTTTCTCTTATGTCCCTGCATGAAGAGCTGGAGCTGATAGAGGGAGCTCATCTGCACTCTCCCTGGATTCGAAACTGCGACCTGTTGGTCTTCAGTCTTGCCAGCACAGGGGGACATAAGAGAAGCCTCCTACATGGATGATAAAACATCAAAAACATCTGGGCGTCCCCTGGGCAACATCCTTGCAGACGGCCAATTCTCTCATACCAGAAGCGACTTGCAGTTTTTCAAGTTGCTCCTGACGCGACAAAAAAAATCTCTCATTTTAAAGCTAAACACACCCAGGTCCCTAAGGTACACCTCATACGGTTTGGCCTCCAGATCCTTTCCCATTTTAGTGGCTCTTCCTGGTCAAGTTCCACCCTGTCTGATAAATCAAAGTGCAAATATATGGGCCTCAAGCTGCCATACCTTCTCTTCCAACAGGGCAACCAGTCTGCACTTTCGGCAGGTATGACTCCACAAATCTTCTGCCAATGTTCACCATTCTATATAGGCAACAGCACAGCTTCCTAACCTCCTCTTTAACGTCCTCCTCAAAATGCCTAGATTTTGTATTGGCTCACAAACATTGACTTCACTCCACTTGTTTCATTGTTTCTCCCTGATAAGGATTGGGGCCTAAATTACCTCTGGATATATTTTTAAAAATACCTACATCAATAAGTGATCTTGTCAGCATAGCTAATAGTAGGGACTTATGGGAGGTGCAGTCAGAGGCGGCTCTAGGTAATTTTCAACGGTAAGCAAACAGTATTTTGGTGCCCCAACCCCCCAACCAATCACTGATATGTATTTTCTGTTCATCGTGGAGTTCTGTGTGCCATATTCGGTTCAATTCCATCATTGGTGGAGTTCAGAATGCTCTTTGATTGTAGGTGAACTACACATCCCCATAACTACAACTCGCATATGTCAAGGTCTATTTTCCACCAAGAGCGCCTCAAGAACGCCCCATGGCAAAATCAACTATACTGCACATGCTTACTTTGCGTAATGGGTTGAGCCACCCCTGAGTGCAGTCCAGGAAGACCTCGAAGGCCACTTATTCCTCAGCCATGGACTATAATGCTCTTCATGAAGACTGGAAACCCAAGAAATCTGGCATCCAGATTCCTCTTGCAATACCTATTTCGACTCTTGATTCCTTTTTGACATCTCCCACATCAGTGATCATTCACAGGCATATGAAGAGTAAGGTGCCAGATTTATTCACAATCACGAACATTAGATAAATTCCTGTTTTACATATGAAGCTAGGCAGACACTACAATAGTCCAAACGTAATATAAAACTTAAATTTTTCATTAAGACATAAAGCTGAAAATCAACACAGAAAAGTAATAAAACACTTCTATTTCAATTTCCCAAGGAACAACAAAAATGCATCTGTTCATTCACAATAAATGAAAGGAGATTAATAACATAGGAAAAAAGAGGGAGATACAACTTATATTGGGTTGTTTTCCTTTACAGGCGTGCAGACTGTTCAATAGATACTCTGTACGTCTCAAGGGCAGTAATTCTCCCTTGTAAGGGCCGTTCAGGTACTTTGGCTCGGAGTTTTAACTGGGCAGGATCTAGCGTAAGGAGATGGCGGATATTATTCTGGTCAAAGGTGGTCTGTTGTAATGGTGATGCAGCCGGCGTCCCAGGCAAAGCAGCCTCTTGGAAGTCCATGTCCTTTTTCGTATGCTTCTTCTTTATAACTGTACACAGCACACTTATCACCACTACCAGGGCAGAGATGAAAAAAACAGTAGTTCCCACAAGGATCTCGGTGTACGTGTACAAGGAGTCAATGCCTGCAAGACAAAGAGGAGTGAGGTGTTCAGCTCCTTCCACCCTGAATGCCCTCCAGGTCAAAATGGTCTCATTCAGTCCAGATTAGAGAGCAAGCCACAAGCATCAGAAGAGCTGCAAGACCAAAAAACAAGCCACGAGAATAGATACAAAAATCCACCCAGAGGAAAGGTGTTCTTGCCATACATCAAGGGAACCACTGACCACATAGGGAAGCTGATGAAGAAACACAACCTACAGACTATCTACAGACCTATTAAGAAAATCCAACATATTAGAAAAGCAGGAAATGTCCCGCAAACAGGAACAAAGTGAAAAGAAGATAGACGAACTAGCGGAAAGAAGTACAAGACTGGAAAGACAACAAGAGAAATTAGAGGCAAAAGAACTGGAGTCTCAATTGAGATATAGAAATATAGCAGAAGAATCTAAAGAAGACATAAGGCAAATTGTGATTGAACTCACAGCAAAATTGATGGACTGCTCAAAGGAAGAAATGGAACATCAGATAGACCGAGTCTACCGAATTTCCACCAATTATGCAAAGAGAAATAAAGCGGAACGCGACGTAATAGTGCATCTGACAAAGAAGACAACCAGAGATGGAATTCTAAAGAGGAACAATTTGAGCCAGATGACTTATAAAAGCAGAAAAATAGCAATCATGAAGGAAACACCACAAACCGCACTGCAAAAAAGGAGAAAGTATCTATACTTGACAGAAGAACTTAAACAACAAAATATAAGATTCCGCTGGGAAAGAACGGAAGGGATTATGGTTACGTACAGAGGAGAACGGTATTGGTTAACATCAGAGGAAAAAGCACAAAACTTTTATAAGAGACTGAAAAAAGAAACAAGCGACCAACCCTTCAAAGGGCAAAAACAAGGGATTAAACGAGCAAGGTTAACATCGCCGGGGGGAACCACATATGTAGAGGAGCGGACGGAGTGGGAACCGGACGCAAAAGAGGCAAGGAGTACGGAGAAAAATGAAAACGGAAACCAAGATGGAGTGGAATCTTAAGTGCCTATCCAATAATATCAATGGCCTGAATTCCCCTGCTAAGAGAAGAAAGATCTTTAATTATGTCAAGAAAGGTCAATATGATATAATAGCGTTCCAGGAGACGCATATATGTCAACAGCACGCGGCACATCTTAATCAAAAAGGGCTAAGGGCATTCTACTCATCCGCTATGGAGAAAAAGAGAGGAGTTGTGACCTATGTTAAAGAGTCAATAACAGCGAAACAGGTATTCAAGAACACAGAGGGTAGAATGATAGGAATAATGGTAGAAAGAGGGGGATGGAAGGGATTATTCTGTAATGTGTATGCCCCAAACGGAGCAAAAGTTAAATTTGTAAATAAACTAAGGAACTTGCTTTTGGAACAGGAGTACGATGACCTTATTCTAATGGGGGATTTCAATGGCGTTATAGACACCAGTATTGACAAAGGTCCAAGGGACAAAAAAGGGAAGAGAGACAGAGGAGGGAAGTTACCAGACGGCTTTTTCAAGCTGCAAGCCGATCTTGGACTCCAAGACGTCTGGAGAACATAACAAAAAAGAAAGAGATTATACCTTCTACTCTGATAGGCATAAAAGATGGAGTAGAATAGATATGATATGGGCCACAAAGACGCTCATAGGGAGAGTAAACAAGATACATATACTACCACGATATTACTCCGACCATTGTCCAATAGAACTGAACCTAAATTATAAAAACACCAGGAAAAAATGGCGGCTTAGTGGACATTTATTAAGATCGGAGGAAGATATTAAGAGATACTCGGAGTTATTAACAGAATTCTTTAAACTAAATTGTACTGACGAAATATCAAGAGAAGTTATATGGGATACCAGTAAAGCCTATATGAGGGGGATGTTCATCCAGCAAAATAGTAAGATATATAAGGGAAAAAAAACAGAAGGAGAAAGAATTAGATGAAAAAATAGAGGAGATTGAGAAAAAATTTAAAAAACACCCAAAGAATGAGAAAATTAAACTAGAACTACATTTACTTAATAAACAAAAGGAACATCTAGAGCTGGAACAAATGGCACGTAATTTGTTATTTGTGAAGCAGGACCACTTTCAAAATGCAAATACGGTGGGAAAATGGCTATCTAGGAGAATTAAAAAGAAAAAATGTGAGCAAAACATATCCCAAATTCAAGAGAAAGACAAGATATATACTAAAAATGAGGAAATACTAGCCCAGTTCCACAACTTCTATAAAAATCTATATACGAGAGATCCAATAAGTAGGGAAAGCATAAATGAATATTTGGGGAAGCACAATCTAGAAAGGTTGTCAGAAGCACAGAGGGAAGCCCTAAATAAGGACATTACATCGGAAGAGATAGAGAAGGCAATTAAGAGGTTGGACTCCAGAAAATCACCAGGACCCGATGGACTATCTATGACTTACTATAAAAAACTA